AAGCAGGACAGGTCAGAGGAGGTTAGCATTCAACAAGCAACGTTCCTTCAGGTAACAATTCAGTGTTCTTAACAACCTGTTAAACAATAAGTCTCGCTGAGAGTAAGGTAATTCAGACAAATGAGTGCATGATTGTGGCTGTGAGTCCCTTTTTGTACTGCAAAATGTTAATTCTGCTCTTAGATGAGCAATGTCTTCTGCAGACCACATGTTATCATTTTATATACTTTGGAATTTTACAACTTTAATGTCAGGAGTCGTCTAATCCAGCAGAGGCAGCACATAGCGAAACAGATCCAAGGAAAGGTGATTAAATTGAAACTCAAATTACGGTATTAGTGTGCGCCCAGATTGAAGATAACCTTCTCAAATAACCTGTTAATCAATATCGTAACCCTGCATATTGCATAATTTCATATTGTTGCTCAAAATTTTGTTTTATTTTCCTTTCCTGCCCTTTAGTTTTATTTTCCACAGTATGCTGGATCAAAAGTACGTTTTTTATGACAAATTCTACAGACTCAGCGAAGTTCGCGATTGTCTGAGGAACTCACCCCATCATCAAATCTGTAGTAGCGACGGGCTGCGAGTACAAATGGGTGGGACGTGATTGTCGCGAGTTCCTGGCCCGTGCTTGTTGCAAATTCTTCGTTTGCAGATTCAATTTAAATTCCATACTTGGAATGTGACACGCTTTATTTGATCACTTAATTCAACACAAGAAGAAATGATATGCTGAATTTAAGAAAGTGGCCTACGTTGAAATCTGGGTATCTCAAAAGAAATTCGAGATACGATAATTCTTCAGTTTTTGCCGTTCGATTCTGCTTGTTGTTTGAAGTGGTACTCATCAGTTTGTAAGGATATTCACCATTTACGAGGATAAAGAATCTTTGGTTATCAGAATTATCTGGACAAATCGCTCCACCTACTAGGAATGACAATGTGATACTGCCCATCGAATTAAAACAGATTTATCATTTCTCAATACTTTCAATATCCTGGCGATCTGAAATTTCCCGATAACGGAAAGCGGATCTAAAGTGAAATTATATGCAGTTTTGCGATATGCATCAAGTGATTATCACTTAAGAGGCCGCTTATAGAACCCTTTGAACGTTTATTTTTTATTAACTACAGTATGCAAATGCTTAATATTGTCGACTTAATGCTTTCATTTATTTTGAGCGGAGAATTTCTCAGGCAATTCGCATATGCAATGAAATTTGTTAACGGAGTAACGATGATTATGAGCCTATAATTCATCGGTGGGCTATATTCCTCATAGACAGTTGAGATACCCAACGTCAAATTCACGTTTCAAAATTTTGTTTAATAGTCATTGCATTTCTTTTTCACATAGGTATCTATCAGAACTTAACGGATGTTTTGACACAACGTAAATTATTAATAAAATATTCCTGAATGACAGTTACGTGTCACTCGGGTGACAGATACAGGTGTTGCGCGATAGACTACTGACTGCACGCCAGTTTTGAACTATACCAAAATTGACATATCTCTCGTGAATCTGCTAGGACGATACCGACTATTCTTTGAAGGCACCACAGACACTTTAAAATGATCATTTCTGAGAATAGCGACTTATTGTGCTTGAAAAACTCATCAAGCGATTGTATTCTCACAGTGAAGTTGCGTATCGTTCTGGAAATTACGCTTAGTAGAATTTATTTCGAAGTCAGATTCGAATAAGAGTCATGAACAGCCGAAATTCATTCTTTAGCAACTTACTGATTAGCAAAAATTCGATAGGGCTGTTGTCCGCCATTCCCCAGTTTAGTTTCTGTAAGGTCTCAAAGGCTAAGCTGACCGAAGATTTTACTGCTGTGGATAAGAACTTGTCGCGATTTGAACTTGACTCTGCAGCGGCTAGATCGCCATATCGAGAGCTAGTGGGTCATTACTAAACTTAGCTGCCAGTTCTACTTAGCGAAGCTGTATTAAAATGCTTCCTAGCTTTCCTAAGGTTCAACTCTGCCTCTGGCTTTGATGGAGTAACAGCAAGTCTTTGTACTTTGCAGAAGTGGGTTCGCAAGCGTTCTCCGGAACTTGTTTGACAGCTGTATAACTTCAAAATCATTCCAAACTGTTGGTATATAAAGATAACCACTCCGACAAAAGATATCAATGCCAACTGATATACTGGAGCCAACCAGGCTCCCTATAGATTTCCTTGCTGCTCAGATTGCAGTTTTCTTCTTCGTTTGTCGAACGACATGCAAGATACCAGACTACATCTACTATGAAAGAGCAACGGCTATATATGTGTATAAGTATATCATATAGGTTCCATCGAGTGTCCTTTCAGCGGCAACGGTACGTCGTTCGGTCATTCCATTCACCTTCGTTTATGGGCAGTGTATCTTTTGACAAGTTGAAGAGTTGGAAGCATGTCATTGTATAAGCCACATTCCACGATCACTTAATATCCCACGCATTAAGAAATATCTCGCGGAGTTGAGTAGCCCATTTTCTGCAGATATTACGGCAATTCAAAATCATCCGGTCATTCTTTTAAGCCACCGTGTTTCTGAAATATAGCAAATTTCGAAGTCGACAATAAATCTGGTCAGAGGATTATCGACCCATATCGTTCACTTCCATGGACAACATAGCCAGGTGAGATTAATAATAGAATAGTTAATTGGTTAAAAAAACAATTTATTGTTCAGATTACAAAAGACTGGTAAAAACTTGATACAATCGTCTTTGCACCGATATCTTAGCCACAGTTTTAGGTGGCTCTTCAGCTAAAGCCCTGTTTATTGACTATCATTGACATTCAACACCTGACAAAATATATTGCTTAGACTTCACAGATTACCCACATTTCTTTTCTTCATTGCTGCTGGAAGGCAGTGTATCTCGTTATTGTCGAATAACCTTAGAGTTCTATAAAGATACGTGCTGTCTCTATTGTTATTCAGCCTCCACTACAATTCGCTTAAAGTCGCCTCCCCCTCAAATGGGTTTGGATATTCCACGACATAAAATTATCGCGCCCATTCCAACCGTTATTGATTCAGCAGGCTGCACGATTCAGTAAACAAAACTGGAAAAAATAAAGACAAACTTGTGATGGTTGCAATTCCGGTCTTCCATGAACTTACATGATGGGAATAACTCTAACACCTTTGTTTTCATGAAATTAATAGTTTAGTGCTAATTTCTATTTCCTTGTCATCACAAAGAGTGCATAATATTTAAAAGCAAAACTAACAACAGCTATGTGAAGAGCCTAGCCTGACTTCTGATGTTTTTTGTGCTCATTAATCATAATCGTACTCTTTCATCGACCTCGGAACGAAGAAACGCGATGACTGCAACAAGGCTCGAAGCTAGAACTTTTCGGTTTATGCCAAGTAATTTAGGTCTGAAGCAGCGTATTCCTAATTCGTTGCTCGAAAAGGAATCCAAAGTCTAACTTTTAAACAGTTTGCCACCACGCTAAGAAGTTCACTAGAAAACAAAGTCGCACAATGGGACCAGGGCTTCGGCCCAATAATCAATCAAAAGAAAGAGTCCAACCGATCTTCGCTATAAAAGACACCAAATCTGAAAGAGTACTGTCAGCAATCTAATACCTAATAACAATGCAGAATGAAGCTCTCCCGTGTGTTCGCTCATTAAGAATCTTGGCGTGCACTTGAAAGATATGTTAGAGTAGACTAATCACGTCATGTCAGTGTTCACAAAAGTAAGCAAGAATTCACACTACCTACTTAGACCGTTGACTATCAATTCCGCCTTCGAGCAAGATGATTCAACTGTCTGTTTGTGACTACATCCTGCCCTGATCACTGATTTCAGACAAACAATTATCGTTAAATTCTTGAGAAAGGAGTGTACCATCATTCGCCATGCAGTTCAAAAAATCAATCCCATAAGTAAAGTCGACTGCGCAAAGATTGGCGAGAAAATTGCTTCCATGATTATGGAAGAAACTATGCAGCTAGAGTGAACGTGGTTGAATGATTTTATTCTTCAAACTGTTTCTGAAGGCGTATCGGATAATACCAGAACAAGAAGCTCAGCAAATGTGATCTAAACTGCACTGCAGATCATCTCTGCCTTTAATCTTCAGGACTTTCACGAGTTCAAGAGGGCCGACATATATTATTTACAAAGCCTAGTTTCTCAACTTTCATAAGTATAAAGACTTTTCTTTCATATTTAATTTAATCAGCCTTGTCACTTTACACATTGGCATGAAAATTTCACTTTGTTTTGATAATAAATTTGTTGTCTAAACGAATGAACTTTATTTTAATCTTAAAAATAATTGATACACAAATCGTTTTGCCGAATTACTTGAGAAATATGACATTGCGGTAAAGACTAAAAGCGCTTGAAAAGATTACCATGAATTTTATTTTGTTAACTGGCCAGATTGGTTTCTTATCTTGCTCAAACGGTAAAATTTCTCAATTTTAACGCACTTACTTCACTGACACGTGAGTTTTGCTGCTGCACATCTCCGTTATAAGGGTTTTTTACACGTACCTGAAAATCACACACAGTTCGAACCTTGATCAAGTTCATAATGAATACTTTTAGAAATAATTAACAAGTTTTCTAGTCAGGTAGCAAACTTCACTTATCAGATGTCTAGGTATATTTATTTTTGCTAATGGCTCTGCTTCCACGTACTGGCATTTTAAAAGGTGAGAAATAATTTTTTTGAGTAATTAGGTTCTGATTTTTAAGTCGTTTGCAGATTTTCTTTCGTTCTTTGTAT